ATGTAAGTAACTGCAAATGCGGAGGAGCCCACCACAAGGCCTGATAATTACTTCAGGATGAAAACCCAACTGTAGGAACATCACGGTTGCTATGACAACCATGTGAGAAGCCCGGTTGCCCACGGTTACCTATGTTACCAGATGTCAGTGACGCTTGAGTCTTAGCTCTGAATGAGCCTCTGGAGCATAATGGGGAAAGGCAATGGGACCTGTATGAGTGGGTCTGAATGAAAGAATCTCCTAGCGCCCATGGGAATCTCTGACATTCCTTTTTTTTTTTTTTTTTTTTAGCCCCGATGGGTTCATGAAGAGTCTGTCTCATTACAGTTGTCACCTTGGAGCCTGAGAGTCCTAAAATAACCCTTCCTCTAAAAGGCCTTTCTTTTAAAAAATTATTTGTTAAAATTTTAAAATAAGTAATAGAAATATAAGGTTCAAGCCTGAAAAATGCAAAAGCTCTATGAGGAAGTTCTCCTTCCTATCCTTGCCCCCACTTATTCTCTCTCTCTCTCTCTCTCTCTCCCCTGATTGGGGCCAAGGAATGAACCTGCAACCCAGGTACATGCCCTTGATTGGGAAGCAAACCAGACACTCTTCAGTACACAGGCTGACACTCTAACCATTGAGCCACGCTGTCCAGGACTCCTTTAATTTGTTTTTACACAAAAGAATATATGATGTACACACAAAAATACATCATACACATTGTTATGCACCCTTCACTTTTCCTTAATATATCTTGAAATTGTCTTATGTCAACCCATAAAACATGTCCTCAGTCTTTTTAAAGTGCAAGGTATTCCATTTTATGGATGTGCCATTGTGTTCATCCATTCCCTATTGATGGCCTTTAGAGTTGTTTTCAGGACTTGGCTGTCACAAAAGTGGCATTGACTAGCCTTCCATTAGTGCAGCGGTTCTCAACCTGTGGGTCGCGACCCCTTTGCGGGTCGACCGACCCTTTCACATGGGTCGCCTAAGACCATCGGAAAACATATATAATTACATATTGTTTTTGTGATGAATCACTATGCTCTAATTATGTTCAATTTGTAACAATGAAATTGGGGGTCACCACAACATGAGGAACTGTATTAAAGGGTCGCGGCATTAGGAAGGTTGAGAATCTCTGCATTAGTGCCATTTTGCACGTGTGAGTTATCGGTAGGACAGTTTGTAGCCGTAGAATTGCTGGGCATGTGGACTTGTCATTTGAAATTGCCGTTCAAAGATCTCCTATTGATTCCCATGCCCCCCAGCAGTATGTGAGGCCATTTTCCCACAAACAAACAAAGAGTGTTTATCAAGCTTCTTGGGTTTTTGCCAATCTGGTAGGTGAGAAATGGCATCTCAATGGGGTTCAAACTGCATTTTTCTTGTACGTATTTAATTGTAGTGAACTGGCTATTCATACGCTTTGCCTATTTTTCAGTTGGGTTGTTGGCCTTTTTCTTAGCTGGAGCAATCCTATTAGAATATTAAGTCTGATGATGCTCTTTCTTTCCTTACAAGCCACTGGCAACCCATCTCCCTCAGAATGAAAACCCAGATCCTTGCAGTCTGCTCTGTTGTCCACCAGTGTGCCCACCCCCACTCTATCTTTCCCCTCTGACTTGGTGTCCAGTTATGTTCCATTTTATTTTTTTATTATTTTTTAAAATATATTTTATTGATTTTTTACAGAGAGGAAGGTAGAGAGATAGAGAGTTAGAAACATCGATGAGAGAGAAACATCAATCAGCTGCCTCCTGCACACCTCCTACTGGGGATGTGCCCGCAACCAAGGTACATGCCCTTGACCGGAATCGAACCCGGGACCTTTCAGTCCGCAGGCCGACGCTCTATCCACTGAGCCAAATTGGTTACGGTTATGTTCCATTTTAATCACTGTGTTCTTACCACACTGATCCTCTTCCTATTCTTTGCATTTGTCTCAGGGCCTTTCACCTTTCTATTCTCTCTGCCTGCAGTAGGCTTCCCCAGCCTATTTAAAATTATAAATTCTTACTAATACACCCCTCCCTCCTCTTACAGTCTTTTTCCATCTCTGCTGGTGGACTTGATCTCCTTCCTGCTCACCACCAACTTGTTAATTGACTGTCTTCCCTCGCACTAGAGCAGCCGTGGGCAAACTACGGCCCACGGGCCGGATACGGCCCGTTTGAAATGAATAAAACTAAAAAAAAAAAAGACCGTACCCTTTTATGTAATGATGTTTACTTTGAATTTATATTAGTTCACACAAACACTCCATCCATGCTTTTGTTCCGGCCCTCCGGTCCAGTTTCAGAACCCATTGTGGCCCTCGAGTCAAAAAGTTTGCCCACCCCTGCACTAGAGAGTAGGCATATGAAACCTAAGAAAGTGACTGTTCATTTACGCCATCAGGTTTTAGGATTTGGCCACTATTTCCTCATATAAAACATATCAATACTTGGGCTAGCCCCAAATAACTAAATTACGGTGAAATTGAATTGAATGTCTATATATTTTTATTAAAAATATACAACAGGAAACAATGGTGTATTTTATGTAATCAGAAGTAAGGGAAGTAAGTCTGCATGAAGGACAGGCATTTTCAAAAAATATATATTTTTTATTTATTTTC